TGCTTCTTAGCCCGGGTGACCGGCGGGTCCTGGGGGTGCAGGGAGCGGGCAAGGGGAAGAGCGGGGAGGTATTCCTCTCCTGCCTGCTTCCCTTTTCTCTTGGCCTTTTCAGAATGAGCCGGTGATTTGGCAGTTGGGCTGTTACAGAGACAGACTTTCTGAAACTACTCCCTCCCATTTTTCTTGAAGGTGTTTCATTCCCCGCCACGCACACACCTTTCTCTCATCCTCTCCTCCTCCCACTTTCTCGGAAAATGTAATAGGTGTGAAAGGCTACTGAGCCCAGTGTCTGCAGCAGAGCCGCAAGCTAAACGCGTGGGGAAGGGGTTTCACTAGTGTTTAGTTTCTGCAGTTGCTGATTACCGGTTGCAAAGGACCTTGGCTTGTTGGCGAGTAATTCGCTGAGCCCGGGGCGCCCAGGCTGTGTGCACTTTGCGCGAACACAGTCTGGCCTCCGGGTCCCTCGGCTCTGGGCCCCTCGGCTCCACTGGGGCCAGGATCAAGCTCCTGAAAAAACAGAAGAGTCAGACAAATGATCTCGCTCCATTATCCTCCCTGCCCCCACCATCACTTTTCTTTTTTTCTTTCGGTATATGGCCTATAAAGGCCAAATAGCCGGAAGCTGCAATGTTGGAGTGGTGAGCGATCACGGGCTGGCTTTCCTGGATTTAGGAACCGCCGGGGGGCGGAGGAGAGTCGAAGGGCATCCACTTGAAGGAGGACGCGGTTTACTTCCCGCAGACGGCGGGAGGGAAGAGCTCAGAGCTGAGGGCTCCCCGGGATGGCTCTTTGAGCAGGTAATTCTGCCGCGGGGTCGAGAGATGATGACTGACATTGTCGGTGATGGCGACCAGGCAAAAAGCGCCCTTTCCGGTTATCAAGATGATTAACCTCGGGCCTTGCCTGTAGTGGGATTTCTCCTCCTCTTTCAGCCTCCCTTTCTCCGGAATTAGGGGGTGCTCCTTTCAAAGAGAGACCCGAGGTTCGCGACCTAGACAAGACCTTCCTTGTCTCCGCGCGGCCTTTCCTCGGAGAGGGGCTGGGGGAACCAGGGACGGCACGCAGACCTGTCCCTTCTAGACAACCGCCTCTCAGAATCGAGTTCACCGGCCAGGTCCCCTGCGGTCCCCTGGGTCACCTCCCCCTCTCCCGCAACCACTTGTCTGAAACTTACCAGATTCCAACCTTAAGGCAGGAAAAAAAGTGTTTCATATACAAACCGATCAGGGTATTTGCAGATAATTGCGAATGTCAAATACTCGGGCGTGATGACAAAGTGCAGAGATTGCCAGGGCCGGAGCTCGGCCTAAGGGGCGGGGGCTGCTGGCGGGGCTCCCGGGCCACCTCAAGCCTGCCCAGAGGCGGGCCTCGAGGAGGGGGCAGAGGGGGGGAGAGCAGTCAGCCGCAGCTGCCCACAGCAGCGCATTTAACTAAGACAGCTACTTCTTCGACCCCTCCTCTGTGGAGCTCATTCAGGGATTCATTGACTGAGTCCAAGCTGGAATGCCGCTCAGGAAGGCGCATGAGAGCGCAGATTCGATACTGCGCAGCTCTCTCTACCCAGATGCACAAACAGCCCAAGCAAGATGCACACACAAGCGGGATTTATGGGCCTCAGTTGGACACTACGGCCCAATGCAAAGGCCCTGCCAAGGTGACCTCCCAAAGTTAACCCCTTGTGGCCTGACACAGGCCACTGGCTACACCCTCCTAATTGGTCCTCCACAGAAATAAAGACAGACATTTAAAAAAGAAAGAAGAAGAAACAAAACACTTGACCCACCACACTTGACTCATCCACGCCAGTCCTCCTACCCCGGTTGTATGTAGGAGGCCATTGGGGTGCCCGCGGAGCCTGGGTGCACACAGTCCACCAGAGCCGTCCCTGCTAAAGTCTCAGCAACAGCAAAGGTGGCTGCTCTCAACTGGTTTCAGGACAACTCTTCTGAGACCCCAGTGGCAGGCATGCTCAGAATGTTTCAAGTGCCTCGAATTCTAAAAAAAAAGAAAAGGGGGGAGTTACTCTTTTTGGGTTTCAAATCTACCAAAAACTGAGGGGATCAATTATAGGTGATACCATGAAGTTGGTGGCAGGTCTGCAGCTTCCCAGGGTCAGAATGGAGGGTGGTGATGAAGGGGACGCCGGGGACCAGGAGAAGCAGTTCAGGCGGGCACACCTCATACTGAGTTATATGGCATGAACCACAGTCACCAAGGCCCTGGCCCCTGGATTCTGGGTCCTAGACCAACGTGGTGGTGGTGGTGCGGGGATGGGAGCCAGGGAAGGGATGCTGAGAGGCTGAGAGACCTTGATCCGACAGCCGCTTTCCTTTCCTAGAGCCACAGAATGTGGTGGGAATACTTCCGAAGCCTAGGGGAAGGCAAGGGAAATACGGACAAGTGTTTGCATCGGTGCAGACTGTCTGCAGTAGGAGGAAAGCCCGACAGAGTCCCTCTCCCGCCCTCAGCCCTCTCCCCTTCCATTGAGTGTCTGAAGTCGGAGCATCCCTGGAAGCCTTTAAAGTTTTACACTCCAGTTTTCTGAGGTTTCCAATGATGACAAATTTGAAAAACATTTCAGCTGTGGCCCAGCACCTAAGGCTCAGAATTGAGGGAAGGGGAGGCTGCTGGATAAAAGCCGCTTGAAAAAGAAGAGACTTGCCTCCCCCTTTTTGGCGGCCATTAAAACTGCTGGATTGGGACAAGGGAGGGCGTGGGCTAAGGCCTTCGGCTGGGGAGCGCTCCAGTACTGGAAAACCGGATCTGCAGAAGTCGGCACCTGGCTCCTTAGCCACCGGCCACCGGGAGTGCTCTGGGCATCCAGACCCTCCCGCCCTCTTCAGAAAGGCTTCGGTCAAGATCTGACTTGAGGTCTCCCAGGTTGAGCAGGGTGGCCAGTTCTGCAGGCAACTCTCCTAGGTCCAGTAAGGACAGTGTAGAGGGACAAAACCGTCGGTCCTCAGTGTGGGCAGCCAGCCGGGACTCCACATGTATAAGATGTGATTCTATTTGACTTTCCAAATCAAAGTGCATTGATTGGGGCCCAGAGAGTTCATGGTATATAACTGTCTTAATTAAATTTGCTATAAACAGACAAATCACTTCTTGCTCTTGTTGCACATAGAGCTTGGGGATATGGCACAGGGTCTGGCAAGAGCCAGACTTGGGGGACAAGCTTTAAAAATAAAATTAAAAAAAGAAGTGTGAACTAGGTAAAGATAGAAAAAGAATAAATGGGGTTTCCACATCCTCAGAAAATAGCTGAACTGAAACCAAAATACAGGATAGCAGGGACGTAATGGGGGAACAATACCCTAGGTTCTCAGAACAGCTCTACTGGGGCTGGCAGCCCTGGGTGGGACCTGTCTTGGAAAGGCAGGGAGCTGCAGAGACCCTGAGTTGTTTGGGGAGGTGGAGGTGCCCATTGCTGAGGCTCTGAGTTACTCTACTCAGTTCTGCACTTTCCTTCCCAACCCTTCCATCTTTCCCTGCCACTGGTCTTGACTTCCTGGTACTCGGAGGACAGTGCTGGGAGGACAAGTCTTCCCTCAGCATGGCCAGCTTGGGGAACAAGGGGCAGCCAACAGGAGTGCCCTGAGTATGTGCACTGTGCAGGCCACTAGGAGCCAGGAGATGGCCACAACTGGGGGTGATGGAGGGTCATAGGAGCCTGGGTGGGAGCAGATGGGAAGGAAAGTTGTCTGTAATCCTCTGGGAAAGCAAAAAATGGGGGAGTACAAACCCACATCTCGAGAGCCCCTTCTGCTGCAGCCAAGTGCCAACATGGGCTAGAGGTGATCTTGAGAAGGTTCAGGCACTCTAGTGCCCCCAGCCCGCAGTGCAGAGGAGAGGTTAGGGGAGTGGTGGCGCTGTGAAGGATCGACCAGATGCCCTTTTCCTCTTTACAAAGTGCAAAGGACAGGGTCTTTCTGAATAACACTAGGTCTCCGCAAGTTACCTGACAGAGACAGCCCTCCACAGACTTCGGTTCTCACAGCTTAAAACCAGATGAACTAAGGGAAGCCCATCAATTTCCTAACTAAAAGCAGAAAGGAAAAGTTCCCCATATATGTAAACATGGGAGATATGAGTGCACAGGTTTGGGCGTGTTCTGGGTAACTTCAAAAACCGGCTTCCCCTCCCCCTCCATCTTGGTTTGCAAACTTGAATTCCCATTTCTTTTCATTGACTATTTAGTATCTGACCCCAACAATAATCTGATTCAGAAATACTCTTCATTTCGTTAGGCTGACATTTACAGATATTAGTTATGTTGTATTTGATAAGGAATTTGATTTCCGGTAAATTTTAGCACAACAATTTTCTAAAAAGTCCTTTTAAGTGTATTTTTAACTTCCAAAAACAAAAATGAAAAACTTATATTGTTATGGTTAGAGAGAAACATTCTTAGATTGCCTTTAGATTTCACAGATTTTGTATAGGCGCCAGCAACTCCGTAGATGCTAACGAATGGGTTATTTGCAGTTATTGTTCATGAAAGGTCTTTTATATTTTTAAAGTGAGGCACAGTTCCCAGGTGGAAAAATTCCTTACAATTAAGCACTGCTTTCAAAAAGATTAGAAAATTGAAAAAAATTTAGAATGTATTACATAGTATAGAAGTCTTTACTGAAAAAATGGATATCGCTATCATCCATGAGTTCAAGTAAGAATGTAGTGAAAATTAATTAAAATGCAAACTATTAGGGAAACATTGCAATTGTCTTTCTATTTCATCCAACGAGGACAATCTTTAGAAACTCCACCCTTCCTTATATTATACTTGTATAGTGACTTGAATTGTCAACGTTTTTCTTTTCAGAAAAAACAACAGTTCACCTTTCAAAATTCTTTACTCACAGAGAGACAATGATGATTGTTCTTGAGACTAAGGACTTTTGAAACAAACAGCTTTCACTCATTCACGCTCACACTTGCACACCCCAAACGCACACGCAATTGCCGGTTTTTTAAAACGCTGCCTCTCAATGGAGGGGAGGGAGAGAGAGAGAGAGACTGAGAAACTCGAGCTTAGGTAACCAACAAACCCAATTACTAGGCTTTATTGATACTAAAAGGAAAAGTTCCCCTCGTAAAATTTATCTGCGCTTATTAGTTATTTAAATCAGCCTAAGGGCTGGACTCGCGACGCCGCAGGCACCTTCTGTCCGCTCGTGGAGGTGAGCAGCCGGCGTCCGCGCCCTGACCCGCCGCCCCTCGCTGGCTACCGGGCACTGGGGACGAAGGTGGGTGCAGCGAGCTGAGGTGAGCCATTTGGCAGGGGTTTCGGGCCTGGCACGTTTGGCGAAAGCTGCGCGTGGCCTAGGGTAGGACACTGGATATCAGAAATGAACAGGTCACAGCCAATGATGAGGGTGCAAGCGAGCAGGCCAAGCGGCCGCTGAGCGCCGGAGCTCTGCCAGCCTGTCACGCTGCTCCACTTCGGGTGCCGTTGGTCACCCGCCCCTGCGACCCGGCCGGGAGCGCCCATGTTGGGGCCGTGAGCCAGGCATGGGGCAGCTCGAGCGTACAGAACTCGCTCCTGTTTTGTGCGGGACTGGGAGCTCTGCAATTGGGGGGCCGCCAGGTGAATTTACACTTTTCTGGGTCGTTGTCCTTTTGAATAGTTGACAGTCCCACAGCGTGTGTGTGTGCGCGCGCGCGCGCTCGTGTGTGTGTGTGTGTGTGTGTGTGTGTGTGTGTGTACGTGCGCGGGTGGTTGCGGGTTGGTGAGCAGTTGAATTTATTTGAAATAAACCCCAGCCTACCCAGAGAAGTCCTCTAAGCCCGGCATGGGGGCTCCCAAATCCTGACGTGGCGCTGGGACAGCGGAGGTGATGGGCCCGGAGAGAAGGCACCACGGGGTGGGGAAGAACTGAGCCCCAAGACACCGCAGTCTCAGCCACCTGGGCTTTAGCCCGGAGGTCAGGCCTTGACGGACTGAGACGGTGGGTGTCCAAGGGGCTTCCGTGAGACCGAGAGAACGGGGGAGGCGCCAGCCTGGGAAGCCCTCTAAGTTCCCCACCACTCCGTACGAGGTTGGACCACGGGATAAACTAACCCTCGTCCCCGGTCCCAGTAAGTGTCTGGGACCCTGGGTCCTGCAGTAGGCTTTCTCGCCGTCTCCGGCATGGTTCCAGACCTGCGCGGGCCCAGAGCGGCCAAGCGTTCGGGAAACAACTCCGGTTTGGGCCGCCTAGCCTCCGGCAGCCTACGTTTGCCTGCCGCTGATAGCGGTGGGCGCACGCAGATTTCGCGACGCAGGCCGGCCTGTCTGAAGTTCCGGGTGTGGATGGGGTGTCGTGGCTTGGACAATCCAGGTGTCCTTTTCATTACGAGGGGTTGGGGCAAACCGGGGCCCCGGCGTTTTGCATGCGCCAAAGCACTCTTGTTTTGAGTGGTCCGGTGGTGCCCGGGGCTGGGGACCTGCCCATTTCCCGCTACATCCTTAACCCGTGGACCAGAGGCGAAGCGAAAGAGCTGGCTTCGGGACGCGACGGGCAGAGCCGGCGCCGCAGGTTTCGGCCGCAGCCCACGCGGTGGCGCTGTAGGAAGAGGACGCCTGGGCTCGGGGCTGGGACCCGGGAAGTGACCCAGGCTCGAGGGTGGCAGGACCTTGACGACAAGTCGAGCCCAGGGGTTCTTCGCTGCCACCTTGGACCCCAAGTTCCTCTGCCTCATTCGGTGTTTCCCGCAGGAAAACGCAGTGGGTCGCGAGGGCAACACCTGGCTGCAACCCCCGCCCCGAGGTGAGGGGCGGAGAGGCAGCGGCGGCTCCTTCGGTGTTTCCCTTTCTTTGCCCCTTTGCCTAGTTACCCCGGTCGTGTACCGTCGATTTCTATAAATAAAGTAGATTAGCAGGGCAGTCATTGCCTCGCAGCACTGCTGCAGGAGATCCACCTCTTGACTCATGAAAAAGAATGAAAGGACCCAGGAGCCCCGGGGGGCGTTGCCAGGTGTCGCTGGGGTAATGCTGGAGCCCGAAGGCCCTCCGCCTTCCTGGGCTCTCCACCCGCGGCCCCGGAAAGGACATCCGGATCTTCCAACCAACCACTCTCCCTGACTCTCCCAGCTCTGAAACCTGTCTCCTCGCTGTCCTCCCCCCAGGGCAGGCAGTGCCCACGACAGACCCCCGTCTCCTGCACCTGGGACCACAGTACGGAAAGCTCCCTGTCCTCGCCTGAGGCAGCTCCTGGGCCAACCTTCGCTCCTCCCTTTTCGCCCACTGGGCCTCTGCACTGTGGGTCCCGCTGGACCCCCGACCCTGCAGCCTCTTGGGTGTTCGGCTCACCGCCATATGCGGACTAGTTGCCCACCACCCTTCCCCAGTCAGTTGTCTCCCTGGGGCACATCTCTCTGTCCAGGCCTCAGAGGCTCGCTTGTTTTCAGAAGGGAGGAGGACCTCCACCGTCCCTACCTCTGGCGGCCAGACGGCTTCCTCACCACTCCGCCCCCGCCCAGGCCCCCTGAGCCGCTGGGGGAGCCAGGAGTAACTTATCTTTGCCTGGCGCGGGATGGGATTTGTCCGGCTCTGATGCCAACGAGGAAGGCGTGCGGATAACGAAGTAAGTGTCCCCCGCCCCTGCTCTTCGGTCAGTCCCCAGACGCCTCGGAGCAGTCTGGGGAAGGACTGGAGCCCACCCTGGTCGACTTGTCCTTCAAGGTTCGTCCCCCTCAGGGTATCCTGGCCCCTCGCCCTTGTCCTCTCCGTGCATCCGATTTCTAGTCTAAGCCCCTAGCCGTTATACTGAGAAAATGTTTGTCGCCCAACTCTCCACGGACAGTCCGCGGCGGAAATTGGCTTCAGAGCTGGCGTGGGCTTCATTTGAAAGAGATGATTCCCGCCCGCCCTCCTCCCACCCCTAGCAGGGCAAGCTCCAGGGGAAGAGACAGGCCCATTTTGGTTTCTAGAAGCCGTCGAAGGCTTTTGATGCTGACGGTTCCCATAGAGTTTTCTCTTGTGTGTTCCGGGGTGGATGGAAAACGCGGCACAACTTTTCCGTGCTAAGAGGCAGCGTATTGCCAGGAGGGTGTCTTTGCCTGAGCGACCACCTTGAAAGCCAGGGAGCCAGGGGATGGATGCTGGGCCTTCAGAGGCCGGGATGGCCCGCTGAGAGCCTAAGTCCTGTGCCCGGCACCCTGCACCCTACACCCGGACAGTCAGCCGGCCCCAGGCATCCAGGGAAGGATGGTTGACTAAGGTCGAAAGCACGCAGGACAAAAACTCGGCGTCCACAAAGAGAAATCAAGAAATGTTGTCACTAAAAGTGCAGGCCATAAGAGAAAGGACAAGAAAGGCCTGACAAGAGAGAAAAGGAGAGAAGGGAATAAGTAAAACTATGCACATTTAAGACCAGAGTATAAAGAAAGATCCGTTGATTTTTAAAATAGCAAATTTCAGTGTGTTTATGAAAGACAGGCGACCTTTTACTAAATGACATAATAAAAAATTGGGGGGTGGTAAAAGAAGGGGGAAAAAGTCTGTGAGAAGTGTGTGAGTCTCACGACAAAAATGTCAGTGAGAAGCAAACTGAGAGATAAAAATGTCCCTCAGATGTGAACTTTGTTTTCAGCACTGAAGCAAACTATCTCCTAACGTGCAAAAATGGGGTTTGAATCAAAGTATTTAAAAAAAGACAAACACAATGGAAACAATTCCTTTCTTGAGTGTGATTTTGTTTCAAAAATATTTGGAAATAAAGCGTTTGAGGACTACAAAACGAAACCAAACAAAAAACTCTGAATCACTATCAAATTTATTTATTTACTGTTTTAAAAAGTAGAAAATCCTAGCGAAAAGTAAAATAATTGTTTAAGATATACCTTATTGTCTAAATTAAACATGCTGGAAATAATCGCTTACTTCAGTTGAAATAGGGTCAGTATAAAAATTGTGCAGTAAAAAGCGTATGTAATTTGAAACAGAAAAAGCCTTTATTAGGGATAAAACCCAAGGGGGAAAAACCCATACCAGGCATACATCCCAAAACTTCCTAGAATTCTCCGTTTTTAAATCGAAAGAAATTTGTAAAATGTGTTACTAAATATAAATCTACAAACAATCAAAATACATTTTTGGTAATAATTGCATTTGACATTTTCCTCTATGTTTAATGCAATTTTAAACAATTTAGGGTTTTTGCCTAAAATGATAGTTTTTTTTCACTATCAAAAATGGACAAGAAGAAACTCCAATAAAGAGAAAAATCGATGAATTTAAAAGAGTATAGAATCTGAAAGCAAACTAGCCACAATGTACATTTAATTGTATCTAATTGTATATTTTATTTAAATAACCCTTCTCAGGGGTTTAATAATTTAGAATCAATAGTTCCCTTCAAAACATAATAAAATATTTACACTTTATAAAATATTAACCGATTAACAATACGGCTCTCCGTGTTGTTTATAAGAGTGTAACTGAAGTCCTGTAATCATGCTGTTGACACAAGCCTGTGAGGTTAGCGAAGTGATCCTTAGCAAAATGTAAATGAAGATCTTAAGACAGTGGTGTTTATAAAATAGCTCATTAATGACTTAGGATTGAATCGCTCCAACCATTCGCATCATCAGATATAATAATAGTGACGAATCAGACAGGAAAGATCCTGGCTAAACCATTTGCATTTTTTTCCAGAAGTACTGAAGTCCTAATATCACCAATTCTTCTAAGTTCCTGGACATTGATCCGGAGGAGGATTCCACAGTTCAACACCAAGGTAAGGAAGGAAACAGCATTATTATCGTTGTTAAGATATTAACAAGGAATACGTTTTCCCTCATTTGGAAAACGGGCTAAGTTTGACAGTGGTAGTTGGTTTTTGCAACACCCCCTTCCCATTTCGAGGTGACAGTACAGATTTTTAAGTTTGTGGATCAGACTCACAGTTTGTTTCTTTGCAGCCAAAAACCTTTTAGCTACCACCACGGGTTGATTTACTTGTGCCATTTTGCTCTCACCAACTTCGAATTGTGCATTTTCTCCAACCCATTTGACTGGGGGTGGGGGTGGGGTGCGGGGTTGGGGGGAGGATGGGGCTTGGGTAAGAAAAATAGGGAAAGGAAAACGCTGCCTAAAACTCCCAGGCTGGCTCCCCTAAGCTTTGCTATCCTGCTCGCTTCCTTTCTCGGCTAGGCTCCGACCGCCTCCCAGGTCGTCTCCCGCTCCTTGGAAACTTGTTGGGCGGTGCCTGGGTTCGGGGTTCACCGGGATCTGGGCGCCGAGACTTAGGCCGGGGGCAGGTTTCGTTTCTGGGACCCTTTCTCTTCCAGAGGCTCTCAAGCCTCCCAAGCCGTGCTCATGCCGCCCACCAGAGAGATGCGGCGAGTGGACCACGGCCTGGTCCCGGACACAATCGGCGAACGCGGCTTTCTGCGGTCTCTGAACCGGCCGGGATTTCCAAGATTGCTCCCGAACGCGTTTCCCGAAACCGAACTTAGTTTGGCCCTCTGGCGCCGCCGTACAGTCAACGCTTCTTAAGGGGGACCGGTGGCTCTGGTGGCTAGATACGGGAGAGCCCTAGGGTCCAGGCAATTAGGAGGGAGAGCCTAGGTGTGCGGGAGGGACAGGAGGCGTAGCCATTAGAGTGGGCTTCTCTGGCCTCAAGGCCAACGGGGACGAGTCCACATTTTCTTGTCCAAGGTCCCGGGGGCTAATGTCCGCCGACGCCCCAGGCATCTCGCGGGGGCTGCGGCCCCTGCCCACGTGCTTTTCCTTAAGGAGGCCCGGCGCCCAAGTGGCATCTGTGGGACAAAAGCGCGGCCTGAGGCCGGCCTGTTCGGCTAGTGCCCGTGCCACCTTAAATCAGCACCGCGGCCGGAGTCAGGCTGCGGGCGGCTGCGGCCGCGGGAGTCGGCAAAAGTTTGTGGCTCTTTTACGCCTTCGAAGGACCTGCTGGGGACGCTCCTGCACGGCCTCCCCCAGATCGGGGAGGCCCAGTCCTCACGGCACAGTTCTGCTCGCGCCCGCAGCCCAGCGCTCCAGCAGCTCGGGGTCCCCAGTAGCCCCAGTCCCGCAGCCCTGAGGACTGGCAGCTCCGCGGCTCTCGCTGCCACAGCGTCACGGCCTCCAGGCAGCCCGGGCTGCGCCGCTCGCGATGTCGCCGGCGCAGCGAGCGCTCCAGGGATGCCATCCAGGGATGCACCCCACCCTGCGCCCACCATGCAAGCCCCTCTCTGCCACTCACAGCCCGGCGGGCAATGGCCCAGCTGCTGCCATTCGGGACACCCGGGCTATTGTTTCGGACTCGCGGCCGTGCCAGCTCTGAGCGAGAAGCGGCCTTCCCTGCGCGCGCGGCAGCTCGGAGCGCGGCGGGCCGGGACGGTCGGCTTCCCGCGGAGGGGGAGCTCGCAGGCACCGGGAAAAGTTGCTCCGAGGGGCGGAGGCGGTGGGCGGAGGCGGTGGGTGGGGGAGGCGATCGCCCTCCTATCTCCAAAGTCGAAAGTACTCCGCGCAGTTAACGGAGCCTGGAGCCGAGGCATCCGCCGCTGCCTGCTGCGCGTCGGTAAGCGCCTCCGCCGGCAGACGCGGCACCCAGCGCCTGCCTTGTCGCCGCCGCCTCCGCGCGGGGACGAGTGCGCCTACGGGCTGGGCGAGGCGGCCGCGCCCTGGACCCAACGCAAGGAGGAGGATCAGACCCCGGGCCCCGGTACCCGCCTGAGCCCAGACGCACCCCCCCGCCGGCCGCGGCCACCGCCTCGCGCCGCGCTCGGTCCTCTGCCATCCGTCCTTCGCTGCCCCGTGCACGAGGTCCTCGCCACCCTACTCCGACCGCCAACTCTCCTCTTCCTCCTCCCTCCTCCCTGCCTCCCACCCTCCCCTCTCCTGTCCCTCTGCCTCCTCTGCAGCCCCGCCGCCGTTGGGTCGCCTAGCTCACGGCGATTGATTGATTGATGTTTAATTTCCTGCCAGGCGGGGCCCCCCTCCCCCCTCAACCTCCCCAGCCTTCCTCCCCGCCCCCCACTCCCCTCCTTCCTTGCGGTGGACCAGTCTGGCTTGGGTTTGGATCCGTCCCCCCCACCCCCATCCCGAAATAACCCAGAGACTTCCCCTACCCCCACCCCAAATTATTATTTTGAAGGCGCTAGATCTGGGGACGGAAAGGGGGAGGGGGAGAAATCGGAAACCGAGGACAACCCAAAAAGACTCACTTTGCCTGATGACTCAACGCAACTAATAATCATCTCCCTCTCAGTGTGTCTCTCTCTGCGGCTTGTCAGTGAGTCCGGCTCTGGCTGTTGGCAGAGGCGGCCGAGAGGGGAGAGGCTGGAGGTGACAGCTTGGGCGGCCGCCGTGTTTCCTCCCGCGCGCGGTCCCAGGTCCCTGCGCCTTCTCGGCTCTTGGTGGCACCGGCCCCGCCGCTCTGGCTGCGCCTCCTCGCGAGCTAGCGGCCCTGCGAACCGGCAGCCCCGGCCCGTCGCCGCCGCCGCTGTCTCCCGGTTCTCAGCCCTTTCTCTCCAGAACGGGTCTCCTTCCCGAAGGTGTGAAAAGGCTCTTTCAGCCTCCTTCTCTCTTCCCCCCTCCTCCGCCGTCCCCTCCCCCGCTCGCTCGGGTGTCCCTTTGGAGGAGTCCTTTCCCTCTCCTCCTCCTCCCCCTCCTCCCCCCCCATCATCATCATAACAACCATCTCCGCACCAGAAGAAGACACCCTGACCCAGGACCTTAAACGTTAGGACCTGGGGAAGAGGAAAGGGGAAGGAGTAAAGAGAAAGGAAGACGATTAGGACAAGACTGCAAAGCAAAACACCAGAAACTTTCCACCCTGGATTCTCTACTTTTGCTCCATGGACAGAGCCCCAGCCAGCCAAGTTTCAGACAGACCGTGAGCAGTAAGTACACAGGGCGAGGGCTCCCGCGCCGCGCTCGGGAGTTCGGGGAAGCCCCGGGGCCGGCTAAGTTCCCTGCCTGCCGCTCTCGCCCTCTGGGCCAGCGAAGTCTGGGAATGCAGGCGAAACCCTCGCACGCAGCCCTTCCGTCAGTCCCTGCGTCTCTCGCAGCCTTCTTTTCACCTCCGCTCTGACGCCCCCACCACGTCTCTCCTTGACCCGTGGCAACACGGCTTCTCCCGCAGCGAGAGGGCCCTGGAGGATTCCCAGCGCACTAAGTTGTGCCGGGGTCCTGCTTCTCGCGGGTGTCAGTAACAATGCGAGCGCGGTTTCATCAGGTGTTTCCTCTCCTTCCCCGCCCCCCAAAATCGAGGGGTGCGGAGATCCGCGGCTTCTGTAAGGATGCGCGCTGCTAACCAAGCCACCCAGAGGAAAACTTTCTGGAGCGATTTTAAAATTGGGGTTGATGAAGGCTGCGTCTAGAGTTTAAATGCTTTTTGTTTTTGTGTTTTAAGCTGAAGAGCTTTAAAAAAGCACTCAGGATCGGATGAAGATAGGAACGCTCCATAATAACAATTGTAGCACACGCCCTTGTGATGGAGGTTATTCTGGAGGTTATTCTAATAAATACCTCCAAGTGTTTTTGGATGCTCATTAATGTGGAATTAGGATTGATTTTATGCAAAGTGTGTATGTGTCTCAGGACTTGCTCCGTAAAGGTAAAAAGTGGGGATGCAAGGGGTTCTTTTACCCGGCCTTTGGCTCCTGCCCGGCCACTCACAGCGCATTTATCAGTTTGTTAATTCGGTCACGGACTTGTGTACACTCCCAACTCCCTTCCCAAGTGTGTGGAACGTCTTTTTCTGAGTTCACGTCTTCCGTAACCCTGACCCCCAGACGGCGAGGCTGTCGCACTGTGAACAGTTTATGCCAATCCTATCCCAATGAATGGGCCACTTCTACGTGGCCCTGGGCGCCGACCTCGGCCGCTTCACCGAAGAAGGCTAACTTCAGGGGAGCAGCGACGGGGCAGAGTCGCAACACCTCAAGTTCTGGGCTTCCTTGGGGCCGCCCAGTGTAAGGTTGGGACCAGCGTCCCGGCTGGGGCCCCTCGGGCAGCGTGGGAGGAAGTCTGTGTGGCTGTGGTGCAGCGCTCTGCCACTGGCCTGAACGTCTATCACGTGTGTGAGCGGTTTTCCCTCTTTTTTTCCCTCCCCCTTTCCTCCCCCCCGCCCCCTCCCTAGGTCCCTGCGCGTTTTATTGCGACCTGCCGGTGGGAACTTTGTCTCCGAGTCGGAGCAGCATGGAGCGGCGGAGCGAGAGCCCGTGTCTGCGGGACAGCCCCGACCGGCGGAGCGGCAGCCCAGACGTCAAGGGGCCTCCCCCGGTGAAGGTGGCCCGGCTGGAGCAGAACGGCAGCCCCATGGGAGCCCGCGGGAGGCCCAACGGCGCCGTGGCCAAGGCCGTGGGAGGTAACAGCCCGGAGCTGGGAGGCGCGCGCAGCCCCGCGGCCCAGTGATAATGGCCCGGGTGTCAGGGTTCAGGTTGATTAGGCGCTGTCGCGGTGTAGGATTACAGGAAGTGAATTCCAGGTTGCCAAATAATGCCCCGGTCGCCTCTCATCTGCAACTGGTAGCTTCATCTAGAGTTAAAACAAGAAAGTGGTTTACCCAGAGGGTGGCATTTTTTGGGCACTTTGCCACTGTGTGCTGAGGTGTTGGCAGGTTTATGTCACAGCCAGCTAACTGTTTCTAGATTTTCCTAGAGAGCTTTTTAGTGATTTAACTCTTTTGCCTTGCCTCAGACTATCTGTTGTAGGGATGAAGTGTAGGTGCGTTCGCTTTTATGAAATAAAATAGTCGTTAGTGCTGAGGCTATTAAGAGTGTTGGTGTTACTTTGTAGTTAGGGCAGTGCTTCAAGACAAATGAATGACAATTGGTAATATTTCCTGACACATTTCAATTGGGAAATAATCACCATGAGTCTATCAGGCCCTTATAAACTTTAATGCTACTGTTGTCTATAAAGTTTTCATATGCATTTGTAACTTTGTTACGAATTATAGGACAACAGGTAAAAATATCAGAGTAGGCTTATTAGCTACATGCTGTTTCTCCTCCGGAAGAATTTAATTTTATTTAAAGAAAAAATTTTCTAGTTTTTACCACTTCAACAACTACTTTCTTTTAAATTGATTAGGAAAAGTAATCTTAGAAAATAAAGATGTGAGAGAAATTTAAACATTACAGTATTTTGAGTTTGTATGCCATTTGCTTAGTTGCCTTTTACATATAAATATACAATTCTACATGGCATACAGGTTTCTTTTGTGTTTGGGATAAATGACTAGTTTACTTTTTTTTGTTTCTGAGATTTTTTTCCCCTAATATTTTCAACAGTAACCCATTTAATATAATTCTTTTTGTTAGCCCACCTGAAATGATAGGCAACCCTGGCAAAACTCATGATATGCTCCCACCCCCACGATCCAAGTGTCCATTGTACATATTTTGAAGTAAATACCTCTCTCTAAATGTCCACTCTATTTTAAAGAGTTAAACACATATATTTTATAAAATGACTTTTTTTGTTTTTACTTATTTTGCTATTTCTGTTTGTGGTAGACATTCAGGATGGGATTTGACTTAGTTCTTCATAATAACCATCTCCTTTGAAAAACATTCATCCTCTCAATTTTTAAGTTTAAAAAAAATATTTGGCTATAGAGGTGGCTGTGTATCTCCCCATACAGGGACTTGAAAATACATTTTAATGAAGGAAAAGAATACTTGACAGTTCTGTGACCCACTTTTTAAATGTGAGGATTATTAATGCTTTGTTTTGAGATTGGAGCAGCAACTTCAGACCTTTCATATAATCCTTTGGTATATACATATAAGAAAGAAAAATATGTAGTGAATATGGTGGGACCAAACATAAGATGATTTGGAAATCTTTGGAGGCAGTGTGTTCCAAAGTAGCCTTAAGTGTAAAGAAGAAACTTGGACTTAAAATTTCAGTCTTTTTCTGAAAACCTAATAAAATTCACTAAATTGAAAGAAGTCTCTAAACATTTTAGAATGTAATTGTTAACAATTGTACTTCCTAAAACAAAGTTGTCTTTTTTTCTTCTATATCATATAGAACTATGAAAGAAACTTCCTAGTTCTGTTGACCAAGGATGCCTTTAGTTTTAAATAGTGGTTGCTTTCAAAGTTTCTGAAACTATAATTCACATTTGATAACTTATGATAAATTTGATACAAACTAAAATTACTGTTTTGGTGAAGAATAATACATTTGTTTCGACCAGCTGCCTTAGACACTTTCTTTGAGGTTTGGCTTAATTTAGTAATAGCAAAGGTCTTATTAGCTGCTTCCCAAACTGAAAATAAAGATGACATTATTTTGTCTCAATACGTATCATTTATACTACTTAATAGTAAAGTGGTTAAAATAGCTTATGTTTGGTGGAATTTTAAAGTTTTTTTTTCTTTTTAAAGAAAGCTTTTATTCTATATAGCATAATAGAGTGTTTGGAAAGGGATTAATTTAGAGAAATTCAGAATATAACAATTTAGAGTATAAAATTTTGATTGTATAAAGCTTTCTTACTGAATGTTAATCATTATTTTCTGGGTTTAAGTTTATATAATTTTCAAATGTACATTCAGATGTTAATAATTTCACTTCTTTGTAACTTTTAATCATGTATATAGAATACAGCAAAACCAAGCCTTTTTAAAAATGCACATTCTAAATTTTAAAAAAATATTTAAAATATGATTCTAGTTAGAAGTTTTTTAATAATTGAAAAGGTTTTTTTGAACATAGGGTAAATATAAAATAGATTATATGTCTACCACCCTGCATCCTTTTCTTTAAATTTTCTTTATAAAGCAGTATAAAATAAGCATAGATAACTATGAAAGTATTTATAGCTCTGCATCATTTTTCAGATATATGTTACAGTCTTATCAATGTTATAAAGGTGGTTATGATAACATTTGTTTTAAAAATAGAGATAAAAATTTGGGAGTACATATTTGTTAATCTTTAGTGTTCTTCTTTCTTAAAAGCTCTCCCCCTAAAAAGAGGAGAAATCAAGTTAATTGGTTGCCCAATAAAATAGCAATTTATCTTATTGCTTTTGATAAGCAGTGAGGTAAATGTTTCTGAATGCATTGGTTGCAATAGTAAATTCTGTTGTTGTTACTGTACTTTTTTAGAGAGGAAAATTATTTTTTGATGAGAACTAAGTATTCATGAAATGGGGGCTTTATTTTAGTATCTGAATTTAACTAGTAGAGGTGGTAGATATACTGTCACAGTCTTCAAGGTTGTGTTTTAATAGGGAACTTAAAAGTTACCGCATTGTTTACAATGTGGTTAGCTTTAGAAGACTCTATTAGAAATTAGATCAGTTTTGCTTTGTCTTTCCAACACTTTCTAGGATTTTTTTGCTCTTATCTAAGCAGTGTGTTTTAAAGCATGTATGTAATAAAATATAAGTGCTCAGATGTGTATGACAGTCAGCTTTTATAGAAGGTCCTTCGGGGGGAAAAAGGCTAATATCTCTTTAAAAAACATATGAAGGCTGGGAGAGAGTTTAGAGCAAGCAAGAGCACCATGGTGTTGACAGCTTTATATCCCTGCTGGGTAACATTCACTTACTAGAATTGGCGTCCCCTCTCAGCTAGTAATTCACTCCATAAGGATTTCGAAAAAGGATGATTAATGGTGGGAAAATTTGTATTTGTGAAATTGTTGATTAAAACTTACACATCTATTTGAAGATTTAGAAAAAGATGAGGTTATTAAGAATGGTGAAAATAAGAATCAGATGATCCTTTTTACCACTATTAGCATAAGTTATCTAAAATGTTCTGCTGTATAGACTGCTTCAGCCACGCAACCTACAGCATAAAATGAAAGTGATGCCAGTCAAGTTTCCAGAGGAAGTAAGGCGTTCTGCTTTCCTCCTGGACTGCTGAAAGGTGCTAGCCAGTTGGGCTTTAATAGCAATAAATTATTGTGCTTTATTCATTGTTAACACTAGCATCTTCGTTTTTAATGTTTGGCTTAAAGAAGAACTTTCAGACAGCTTTATTTAAACTGAATGAACAGCACTTGAATATACCAGATGGTGTATTTGCTGATAGGAGGTATTAAACATCAGAATCTTTTTGATATTTTTTATTTTCCTATGAATTTTTATGGGTTTTTTGGTGTTAAGTGTTCTAGATTCTAGGAAAAAATGTTTAAACATTTTAGGGTATTTGCTTTTTTAAAAAAATTTGTTTATTTTTGAAAAATAATTTATGTTTTACAAATAAAAATTTAATTTTGTTGTAGAACTGTCTGTTGAAGTTATCTTATAACTGGTCTACGTGAAGTAGACCTGTTCTTCTTGCTACCAGGCAGCCTTTTCAAGAACATAACTGTCTTATTGCAAGGGAAAAAATCATTATGCAGTACACATTGATGTATTCAAATAGGGAAGCAAATGTGATCAAGATTGTTAGTCAGGGCCTCATTTAGAGCTGAACATTGTCTACAACAACAGTTAGTTTAATTGTCTACATGTGGAACATTCCTTTTAGATTAAGAGTAAAAGAAATGTAGTTCGGGTCAGGTGTAGTCACCATATTAGCAGTAGTAGAGAGACATTTTACTTTTTGAAAAAAGTGCAGATATGAAAGTATAGATATTTATATATTGAAATGTATAAAATATTTAGAAATTTAGAAATATATTGTCAACATGGCCAAAATGGAGAAAACTCCATTTCTAGAGATGAACACCGTAATACATGTAGGAAGGACACATATTATTCTTTCAAAAGAGAAAAGATTGTATTTCCCCCTCCCTCCCACATTTTTTTTTTTTTAAAGGTTTTAAGGTCTTTTAAATAGAATGAACTTAGGCATTGGGGTCATCCAACAATCTAGCATGTCCTCTATAGTTTTGCTGAGGTAGAAAAATAGCCCTTCTCTAAAGTGTTTTTAGTTCTTGGCCTGTTATTAAAATAAAGATATACTTGGTTAAAAAAATATATGCAATGGAACATACACATTAAACAGAACATAGGGTATCCGCCCCTCTAAGTCCTAAGCATAATTTGATGTTTCAAGCAATTTTGGAAGCCTTATGTTCCATCAGCAGAAACCCACTGACCATTGTACATTCAAGATCATCTACAGTGAAGTGTGTGTGTGTGTGTGTGTGTGTGTGTGTGAGTGAGACAGAGAGAGAGAGAGAGAAAGAGCTACATCGATGTCCCTTAAGTCATCTGTTTTTGAACCCTTGCAGGAGATCAGAAATATCATCCTTCCCCAGGGGGTTGTAACCAGCAGAATTGGTCTGTACATGTTAGATATTCCATGTTAATTCTTTTGTCCTTTTTGAATTTTTTTTTAAAAAACCAATCTATCTCTGTAGAGAGGGAAAACAGACTAATTATCATTTATT